AGTCAACATTAAATTCTATAACTGTCTCTGTCACCACGAAATTTTCCCTTGTGCAATCTCTTTTTAGTCCACAACCACTGCCACCTCCAATTCTTGAACCTGACCCCTGAGAGCCATTTAATCTGTTCTCCATTTCTATAATGTTGTGTACTTAGAGTCATTCAGCCTCTGACCTTCTGATATTGGTTTTTTGTTTGTTTGTTTCTTTGTTTTTTTAGGGTAAGGTTCCTGAGATCCACCCAAACTGTTACATGTCCTGTTTAGAGCTGATTTATACCCTGTGGTAGGGATGCACTACAGTGTGTCAAACCACTTGCCCACTGAAGGACATCTCAGTTGTTTCCCAGTTTTGATTTTTCCGTTATTGTGATGGTCTAAAACTAGAGAAGGAATCCATTTGGATTTCTTCATTTGAATTGATTGCTGGTCTAACTCAAAGCTTAATTTTCCATTTCTCTGATAGGAGCACTGCCCCAAGGGAAAAATGTCAGTTTCCCAAGACTAAATTTCCATTAAGTTGACCACACAATCCTTCACTCATATCTTAGTCCAACATTTAGAAAATGGAAAACATCGATTGTTGTTCCCATTGCCTTTTAGAGTTCCAGTGTGATATAAGAAGTGCTTTGGGGTAAGGTGAAAGCAGATTGCTGGCATTCATACCGTCCTGGGTTATGAAATGCTTCCTCCAGCTAGTGTCATGATGCAATAGGTCTTTAACTCCATCTACCTTCCAACAGCATTATCACATCTCCCATAGAGCCAACCCAAAGGAAAACACTAACAGTAGCAATGAGAATAACATTAAGATTGTCTAATCATTTAAAATTTTAATGGATGTACCAATAAAAGCACCAATAAAGTTTTTTTCTATTTTATTGTTATAGATACTAAAAGGGAAATATAAAACCAGTATGCTGTCTATGGAATGAAGCTTCAATAAAGTCTTGTGGTTCTCCTCCATCCTGCTTGCAAGCAGAATGTCCCTAAATTCTATCTCTGGAGGAATTCTGGGGCCAAACCATCCCTCTTTCTGGACCTTACATCCATTTGCCATTTTAATTAGTGTGTGAGTTGCTTTCCTAATGAAATGGGTCAACTGATCAACAAAGCTAATTTATTTGGAAATCTGTGTGCACTTGATAAACCCTCAAAATTAACACTTTTTTTAAAGTTTATGTATTTCATGAGCAAGAAAGAGACAGCACCCCAAACAGGGTCAAGACACTACAATCCACCCCAGCTTTAGCCAGCCCAGATCATGGGCATGCACCTGCCCAGCGTACTCAGAACAGTCTCTAGACGAGAACCTGAAACCTTCTCATGCAGTTTGGCCTCTCAGAGCATCATGTTTCACTGCTGCACTACTGTCTGGCCCCAAAATAAGCATCTTGGGAAAAATATATTCCAGCCCTAACATGGAGGAGCAAGCTGGAGGGTGCCAGTGTTCAATGGCTAAGTCCACATTAGAGACCCAGATTCATGTTTTCTTTCCCTCCTGCTCTCTCTTTCACTCATTACACACACACACACACACATGACTTTACGGTTTGAGTCCCAGACCCAGTGGCCTGGGAAACATGCTGGGCATACGTGCGTGTGTGCCCAAAATCCCAAGAAAAAAGTGGAGGAGAGGTGATTGTGGCATGGCTACACTGTCCAGGGGATGTTTTCTCAGTTTCTCTCTGTGTCTCTCTCTCCAACTCTCCAGTGAGTGTGTTTTCTCAGTTTCTCTCTGTGTCTCTCTCTGCAACTCCCCAGTGAGCACACTAGCCCTACAGCAATTTTTTAAAAATGATATCAAAAGTGTGGGGTGCTGATGCTCTGAACATCAAAAGCAAAAGCCAACAAATCAATAGTCTGTTGGAATAAAACAAAGGAAAAATTACTAAACACATAATCCACAAGATGTCCCAAGTAGATGTGACCCTGAGAAGGTTTACATGTGATGATGAGAAACTTACTCACATAATAGAAATAATATGTGTATATGATATAAAATTAAGAAAATGCAAATATTGTAAGAATAGTTTTATTAAGTAGCTTCTTTAAATAGATTTTTGGGAGCATTGACATAATATATATCCGTATCTCCACAGTTATGTATATTTATCTAATTTTAACTTTTTTCACTTTTTGATATCTTTTAGTCATTTGATATGTGTCTCAAGAAATTTGTTCAAGAAGGAGGATGTATTAATCATTGCCTGTTTTTGCCTTAACATAAACAATAAAAACATCTTCTGAACACAACTTTCTTTTTTTTTTTTTTGGAGAGATTTTCACTGTAGGGCGCGTGCGCTCGCCAGACAGACAGAGAGAGACATAGAGACAGAAAGCGAGAAATCACCCCCCAGGGGGGATGGTCACGCCGCAATCCCTTCTCCTCCATTCTCCTCTCGGGATCTTGGGCACGCACGCACACGCGCCCGGCGTGAGTTTTAAGCCACCGGGTCCGGGACACGAACCGCGGTCGACTACGTGGGAGTCCAGCGACATAGCCATTACGCTAACTTCTGGTTCCCTGAACACAAATTTCTTGAGACACTTTTTTATTTTTATAACAATAAGACTTATTTCTAACTCACGTTAAATGACTTGATAGTTATAGGTTGTTGTAGAGACATTTTTCTAGTATCTCATGAAGTTTAGCATTACAACAGGGAGGTCTGGAGTCACCTACATTTTTGTCCATTTGGGAGTAACCTGCTATGGTTGTTTAAAAATTATTACTTTTCTGTTTATATGCTTAAATTATATTTATTATGGCTTTATATTTCATCCTCGTAATTTAAAACATTTAGCAAGCATACGTATGCAAAGGTTCCTCTCTTGATTTTAATTTTGCAGTAAGCCCTTTCAATCTGCATTTACAGATTTTCTTCAACTCAAGTTTTCTTCTATCACATCTTTGAATGTTGGTGTGTCTATTCCTTTGTTTTAGTTTTATGTGCTAATTTAGTCAAGAAACCTCAATTATACATTGTTTTCTCAAAATCTGTCATCTTTTTCATTGTTTTTATCTCTGTTTCTCTAGCTTATGAGCATGGTAATCACTTTGTTTCTCATAATCACTAATCACTCTTCTATGCAATTCTGTACTTTACAAACTTCGGTATTTTAAACCATTTCTTTTAGCTTTCTTCAGTTTTCCTTTATCTTGCCAATCTGTCTTTATTTGCAATGTGTTCTACATTTTGAAAATATTTAGATCAATAAAGCAATATTAAAAATAATGCAATGAACACCTGTACTTACTACCCAGATTTGGCAGTAAAATATTACAAATGAGATTTCTCTCTTTGCCTCAATTTTGGTTTATTTTCCCAGCATATTGTTTATTTCAGCAAAATAGACAATAAAAATGTATCATCTTCTGTATTTAATTATATATATATATATGCATATCATATGTGTAGATGCACGTGTGAGTATATGCACTTGAAATGTTAAATCCGAAAGGTATATTTCTTATCTCCTGTCTCCTTTTTATTTCATACTGTGCTATTTTTATTTCAGCATATTATTTTCTTCCTGATATTTTCTTCTGAGTTTTACCCAAAAAATCTTAGCATTATCTCATTTAAAAAGTCAAAGTACTTCTCTAACAAGATGCAATATTGTTATCAGCGATGCTTCACATGTGGCCCCTTCTTAGTGGTAGCCACACCCTTCCTGAGTGACCTTTGGAGAGCTACCACCTTCTCACCATATGCTGGTGACTATATTTCTCAGTTTACTCCACATATTTTCCTCCTGCTCCAGCATAAGTCTATCATGAGACTGGAAGTCAGATATTTTAGTCTTTAAAAGCAAGGCTCTATACCATTTAGTTTATTTGATTTGGGGAGGTTTATTTTGTTTTACTTTAAGCAAGTCACTTTTTCTGGGTCTCGCTTTTCTCATCTATAGCTTAAAGAGTGAGATTGTGCTTTTATTTCCTATTTATTTATTTATTTATTTATTTATTTATTTATTTATTTATTTGCAATAGGGCATGTGTGCTGGAGAGGGACATAAAGAGAAGGAAAGTGAGAAATCACCTCCCAGAGAGGATGACAATGCTGCAATCCCTTCATTCTCCTCTTGGAATTTTGGGCACACACATAAAATATGCATCCCACGTATTTGTCAAGCTGCTGGGTCTGGGACTCCAATCACGGAGTCATTCACATGGGTCCTGCACTTTAGCAACCATGCCACCTGCTGGCCTGGATGATCTTTTTTCGTACAAATACCCAATATTATAGCCACTGGCCACATGTGCCTATACAAACTTAAATTCTAATTATTTTGAATCAAATTTAAGTTAGCTCTCAGTTTAGCTATCTTCCAAGTGCTTGGCAGTCACACAGGGATAGTAGTTACTGGACACATATAAAGTATTTTCATCATTCCAGATAGTTCTATTGCACAGCTCTGGATAAGCCCTAGGAAGGAGCTGCTAGTGAGCTCCAGCCTCATAGCTTCAGCACTGTTAGTACAGTAACATATATGAGCCCCAGATATAATGACTGGCAAGTAGTTGATAGTCATTCCTAATAATGATGTCATCAGGAAAAACCTAAAGTGTTGGCCGCGATAAGACTCCCACATAAATGCTTCTTGATGAAATTCCTTGCAAAATCCCTGAAGGAAAACTACCTTCGTCATAAAGAAATCCTTGACCCTCCTCACACTCGGTACAGCCCATCCTCTTCTTCAAACTGGAAGGATCATCTCCCTATCTGAACTCCCTATCGCTTTATTGCTTCTTCCCTATGCACCTACCCCTCTTCTACTTTGAATTGCCTGGCTATGTAGGCTTCTACCAGAGTGTCCACGTGAGTTCAGGGACTCACCTCTTCCACCAGCAGGCCTTGTAGACAAATACAACTACAGAGGAATTCAGGCCTGAGGCAGTGGAGCTGGTTGCTAAGGAGATGGCTGATTACAGGGGAAGTTCTGCATGACCAGTGTCCTGTGCCTCTACTGCTTTGGCCTCACTTTATACTGTTGCATCCGACCTAAAGTGACCACACTCCTGAACCAGCCCTCCTTCCGCAAACGGCATTGCATTGAGGTGGGTCATAGTTGTAATTCTTTCTCCTCCTAAACTGTACTGCCTTTCTCTTATATAAAAATAGAGAACTGGGAATATTTTCTTAAACTAAAAAAATTATTATTATTATTGTATTTTGTGTCTATCGGCAAAGATAGAATCTGTTTATTATAGACATTTTAGAAAACAATAGCTAACAAAAAACGATCAATGATAACCAATACCTTTATAACACCAGAAGAAACCTACTTGGCTAAGATTTTGATAGCTTTCTCTCTGGTCCAATTTCCGTTCATGTCCATTTATAATTTAACCATTATTTTACTAAATGCTGGTAGCTCTTATCTCCCTCAAAAACATAGACACTTTTGCATTACCTATGACAACATACCTCTACAACATTTTTGCAATGAATGAATAGTATTCTGTTATAAGGGTGAACTAGAATGTATGTAACCATGTCACTCACACAGCTGTTTATGTTATTTCTAATTTTTCATTATTTTTCTTATAATTTTTTATAGTAGTCAGAGAGCATTTGTGCTTACCAGAGACAGAGAGGGAGAGAGAGAAAATCACCTCCCAGTGGAGTGTGGTCATCCTGCTATTGATTCTCCTCCATTTCTTTATCCCATCAGGATTTGGGATATGCACACACACTCCCTCAGCATGTTTCCCCAGCTGCTGTGACCATGATTCAAAATGCCGTCAGTCACATGGCATTTGGCTTCCATAACCACTAGACCATGGGGCCAGTCCCTTATAAATGTTTTTGTTCACCATGGGCAGCTCTTAAAAATAAATTTCTTATTAAAGAATATTTACACATTTTATACCTATGGCTAAATTTCCCACCAGAAAGTTATAAAAGTTTACAGTGAGAAGAATAAGTATTTTTGAAGGGAATTAATTGCAAGTTTGAGTGAGTAAAAAGGAATAAAATAAGTGGTAATTTTAAGGGAGAGAGAGAGAAAAGAATCTTTTTATTTCATATTTCATGTGATAACTGAGAGAATGTACTTGTCTTCCTCTTGACTTGTGTTTGTCTTCCATCTCTTGGGGGCAAAAAGGGAAAAAAGAGATACTGTGGAAATAGAGCAACTTCTTAAGGGAGGGGAAGTAGAATTTTTTCATAACATTCGGATGAATTTAAAAACACTGCTAGTGTCAGTATTTTCATATTTCAGAAATATGCAGTAGATGGGCAATACTAATTATGACAAAACATAAAAGGCCTTTTCAAAGTTTTTTGTCTGTTTCATAATCATCTCATGGTCCGCTGTTAGTCAACAATAGGTTTGACAATTTAATCAATATGAATGATCAATCTGTGTGGCCTTAAAGTACATTTAGCAAAGAACTTCCAAATCACTTACCATGAGTCTATAGCTGGTGAACGGCAGAGCATGGATTTGAACCTACGACTGTTGGGTTCTATTATTCTTTGTTGTATCTTCTAGGTGAGACTTCCTGCCAGGTGACCCTATGGCTTTAGGCTTTAGTTAGTAAAGTGCACATGCCTTATGCTTATCCCTCTGGTGGCCTGGGAAAACAGTAAGTGTTGAGTCCAAGCCCACAGTGACTATAGCAGCTTTATTAAACCTAGACCGGCCAACCAGAACTACTAACGAGCATGGACTATTGGGATTTCCTGTCCCGAGCACTTTATAGACTTTAACAGAAAAATGGGATAGAAGATTTCTAAGTAGTCAGCTTTATTTTCTGTCTTTCCACCTTCAGCCTATGAGCTGATGTTGATCCAAGTGATCGTATTAACAACAACAGTAAAGAGCAACAACACATAAAGTAGCGTCTCTGTACCAGGCACTTGGCCGGATACTTCACACATGTATTTTACTTAGGCTTTACAACATTCCTGAGAGGAAGGTGTTGTTATTATCAACTTTTGGGTAAGCAAACTGAAAACCAAAACACTGTCCAAAGACCCTTAGCTGGGGAAAGGCAGAGCTTGGATTTGAACGGAGGTCTGTTGGATACCATCATTCTCCATAGTCTATTCTAGGCAAGCCTCCCCGCTAGGTTACCCTGTGACTTTAGGCCTTCAGTTAGTATTTCCAGGACCCATAACTAAACCTACACATCCCCATGCTTACCCCTCTGGTGGCCTTGTGAAAACATGTTAAACAAACCCAGAGGCCCAAGAGTCTTTTCTGACCCCCAGTTTCATTCTTCATTAGATATTAGGTATTACACATTCAGAGAGAGTGTGAGGAAGAAGGAGCAACTTTCTTCTATAGCTTTAAGAGAATTGCACCTGCCACACTGGTGTCTTGGGGGGGGGAGGTGTCCCTCCCATTGTCAGTTTCCCTCTCCCTTCTTTATGCTTGGTATTGTTTCCTGGCTGATACCAAACCCTAAATCTGGAAGCCACCCAAGCCTGATTCTCCTTCAAAGGCTCCAGGCCTTAAATAATCCCTGGCCTTTTCTTTATTGCCCACATCAAAATTTCCCACATCTCAATGAGTGTCAATGTAAGAATGAGGGACCTTCAATATGTCATGAAAAATGTGTACTAAAAAGAAACTACTATGCATGGATTTCAACTAGTTTTTTCACATGCAAATCATCTTTTACTTTAATACCATTTCTCCAAGAACTCTTTGATGTCATACTTTCTAGTTTTTTTCATAAAGGATTCATATATAATGTCAAAGGAGGGAAGGATTATAGAAACCATCTCACCCAGTGACTTTAAAACATTATTAGAAGCAAAAACAATTTTCAACAACAACAAAAAATCACACAGGTTCCAGCACACATAAAGGAAATGAGTGGTAGATGGCTGGTATACATTTATCATGTAAAATTCAGATGTATAATCCTTGTGCATTATGGAGTGAAGGTGATAAAGATACAGCTATTTTGGTGATGTCCGCAATTAAAGATGAGGTGGCAATGGTGGGACTCTGATTATGTCCATCCCAGATGACACTTTGGAGCTCTGTCTTATTGCTCTGTAATATGATAATACCTAAACAGATAAGTAGTTAAAATCATAACTCTTTTTAAATTAGTAAAGTTTTAATCACTCCAATTCTCTTCAATTACACAAGAGAGCAGAGGAAATTTTACTCCAAGTTTCCAGCAAAAGTTAATGAATGTTTTACACTGATGTTTTGCAATTGACGTCTAATGTATGCATTTGAAATTACACATGAAGCAAAAATGCTTCCACAGGTACCATTAGGTGAGTCACGGCATTTCTAGTTGGCATCCTGCAACCCAAATCCACGTGATCAGCTTGGCTGTATTTACCTGTTAGATTCCAGCTGGTTTTATGATGCTTAATTAGTGTTTAAATCCACTTTGAGATGAAAGAAAACTAAACTAGCATAGTCTATCATTACCTGTCACAAAAATGAGTAACCTGCATGCTTGTTTTCAAACCCCCACAGTTGCTCCTTACACATTTTCAAATCTCAAAACGGTCATGGTTATTATGAATCATCATTTTACTACATTTTTGATGCTGCTAACTCAGGAAAATCTTTAACCTTAGAAAACCCCACTCTTGCTTACTTTCTCAAGTTCCTCTCTGGGGAAGATGCCAAACTGGGAACGTTTGCTTTGAGAGATTAAAGCATTTCTCCCTGCAAGGATGTCTATAAGTGTGTAACACAGTGGCCCCACACCCAGCTAAGTCTCAGAATTATTTGGCTTACTTGATGAAAATACAGGTTCTTAAGCCCTAAACCTGGAATTTCTGCTATACTAGCTGTAGGATGGGTCCTAAAATAATTGTCACCAGTTTTCTGGTGATTCTGAGTCTCATTTTCTTGAACACAAGAAGTAAAAACAAAGTGGAAAACATCAGTCCCACCTGGCCTGATGAAAATCCGTGTTCTGAAAAGAACACACAGTTAGTAAACGCATTGGTTGTCCAGAGGATTACACAATCCTTTCTAGAATTGATGAGAATAACACATTTCAGTGTCATGGAGAAAAGGGAGCATATTGCAGAAATGAACTAAAATTGCACCCAAAAGAAACTATGAGAAATTTTTGCTCACATGGAAAATAAATAACTACTAAATCATGATGACAAGCTGATATACAAATAACTTTTAGAAGACTTAGCAACACATACCAAAGCTAATCATTTTAAAAACCATGTTCTTCAGTAGGGTGTTTAATTTTCTTCTCAGACCTAAGTTCATCCTCTATGATGAGTTCTTGTTTTCTCAATATCAGCACTGCTAATATTTGAGGACAGATAATTCTTGCTTGTCGGATTGGTGGTGGTGGTGGTAGGATCTGTTCCGTGCGTGTTAGGATGTTTAGCATCATCCCCAGCCTCTACCACTAGATGTCAGCACCACTCCCCTAGTGTGACAAGCACAACTTCCTCCACACATTGCCAAACGCTCTGTGGAAAAGGAAATCACTCCTGGCATAGAAGCATTACTTTAGGAGTCGTGTGATCTCTCTGAGATGTCAGATTTCTCAAGGAGCAAAAGTGACATTCATCGTAGTAGATCAGAAGAGACAATATAGTAAGTGATGCAGTTAAAGGTTGAATAACTAGTTAGAAAAAAAATCAGAGTCAACGCCAACCCAGACTGAAAAATACGTTTCAAATAGTCTAGAATTCCAAATTGTAATCATTATTATAAAATTGAAAAATATAAATTATATATATATATATATATATATATATATGACCATGGATAAAGACCTGCCTAAGACAAACAGAAAACCTAGAAAATAAAAATTAAACACTCAAAAGACAATTTTGTAACATTTTAACATTCCTCTATGATGAAATAATAACTAATGAAAGGTACCCCAAGCAACATTTTTAAAAGAGGAAAAGAAAACATAGTTGTTTTAAGAACAACAAATTGACAAGCAATCCTTGAAAGAAAAGGCCTGAGCAAATCAATCACATTAAAATAAAAAAAATAGAAAAGAGAAAACAGGTGAGTAACTTGAAAAGGTAAATTTCATAGTTTTATTAGAATTCAGGAAAATATAAACTAACACTACAATGACCCCTTCAGACTGGCAAAATTGAAAAGATTTGTGAAATGTAGAACTGGAGAAGGAAGGCGTGGCAAAACAGCCATGTTCATTCCCTGTTATAAGAAATTGCATTGGCTCAATCTTTTGAGACAATTTCTTAATCCCTGTCATTTGGACTGACTTTCGTGTAGACTTTATCTAACGTTTCTCCCAGTGTTTTATATCTTAATTGACCCTAAAAAAATTCTCTGATGTGTTCACAAAATATGTATGTACAAAGGTAAAGACAATTTTGTTTTTAACAGCTAAACATTGCAGTAGACCAAGGGTGACGGATAGTACGTCATTATATTTTGACAGGCCTATCTATGATAGCTCTATGTTGTAAGTACATAACTTCAGGTATGTTTAAAATGTTGAAAGGGGCCAGAAGGTGGCACAGTGGTAAAACTTGATACTCTGTGAAGCTGACCCACAAAGGGAGGTACCAGGTTTGCTTCTGGAAACTTCTGGAATACATGAGGCACACTGGTATCCAAGATTCATTGACTCTCATGCCATCTTATTTTAGTGTTAGATAAACTGAGACTCTGAGAGTTTATATGGTTTGACCAAGATTCCTGGTTCAGTAAGGGCAGAGCCAGGATTCACTCTTGAATCTGTCTTTGGGAAATGCGCCTACTTCTCTCTTCCCAGTTTCGTACTCCCATGAATCAATGGAGCAACTCCAGTTTTTCTTACAAGTGTCTGCTCTCTAGACCATGATAGAGGAAACACTGTCCAGAAAATCAACTGCCATAACCTGCAGGGAGCGAAATCGCTGTGGGATGGTGGGTGCTTACCCTGCAGCAGCCATTTAGCCCTCACAGCAGCCAGAGAGGGTAGGCACCACTGCTGTTTACTGCTTGCACATGAAGGCACAGAGGCCAAGGGAAGTTTCCCAGCATCACACAGATAGCAAGCAATAGAACTATAGACTTCATGGTCTGGCTTCTTAATTACTACGTATATTGAATAGTATAAAAGTGATTGGCTGCCAATCTTTGGAAAGGAAGAACTTGAAACTTGAAGAACTTAGGTGTTTAAACAACAATTCTAGACCAATGTGAAGAGTTAGAGATAGGTTGTTTGCTTACGTCGGTATAAAATGCCTTGCAAGCTTTCAGCACTGGGGTGCAGAATATGAAGAACATTGCATGCTGACAGAGGTGGCTGAAATATTGATTGCAAAATCATGCTTGTGAAGGCATGTCTGACAACCTGGGAGGGTGAATAAACCGAACACCCATTTGGGTGAGGACTTCAGAGCTTCTGTAAGACGACCCATGTGAAGGGACAGAGAGGGGTATGAGTTTGACTCGGTTTTGGTCATTTGGTTGCAGAGTGATTCTGACAAGAGCCTTGGCTCTGACTTACAGATGGGTCCCATGGCACCCAGTCCCCGCTGGACTCGACTGTGGTTTATAACACCCAAAAGAACTGTTTTATAAAACTGAGCTCCACATTGAGAGGAAAGAAGCACTAACTTGAGAGCCCTCTAACCCCTAATTCAAACAGAAAAGAGGAATTCTCCTCCACTTTGCAAAACGGCTGTATGTAGTTTTAAAATCTCAGGTGTCTCAGACACACAGGGCATTTCTAACAGGTGTTTATCTGAAGACAGCAGACTCCTGGAGGAGAATGGAAGTAGGTGTTGCTAATGCAGGAGATAGGACTGGTCCTCTCCCACCCCTCCCGCCACCCTCCTCATCCTGAGTAAACATCATGGGCCCAGCAGAGCAGCCATGTCCACAGGCGTGAGCTTGCTTGTGAATAGCAGGAGATGCCAGATGGATTATTTTAGGGGAGGCCCTTGAAGACATTTTAGAACTCCTACAAATTCTGATTCAATGAGAATTCCAGTCAGATCATTGCTGTTAATGTGACTCAGTGCATGCCCACAGTCTGTGACATCTAGATTACAGGCAGGAAGAAAGTTGCCGAAAGGGAACAATACTTAAAGGAGGGTCACCAGGGAGATTAACTAAAGGTGAAGACTAAGGTCTTTTCTAAGAACTGTAACTTTACAGCTGGGATCAGGTGGATGGGAAAGAATAGCCACCTGGACGAATAACAAGAACCCCCTTCCTGAATACTAAGAGAACATTTTCAGACACAGGCTCACTCCGTGGTCTTCAGGGTCAGGGTTAAAATGGAAAACAAGGCAGTGATGTGCCTTAAGAATGGTGTACCACCAGATGAGGTCGAATGATTGAGATCTTTCCAGTATCCCCCCTTCAGAGCAATACTAAATGCACTATTCTGTTACACCCAAAGACAGTCAGGTTATTTTAACCTAAAAGCCAGCACAGCAGTAGAATTATTTATAGGGGAGGCTATTCCTAACACAAGTGGTCAAAATGCCTTACGTCTCTACTTCATAGTAGTTTATTTCTCATTTCCCAAGTCACCTGAAAACAAATTACTAATTTGTTGTAGCCAAAAAGTTTGCTTGGTGAGTGTGGGAGTAAACCAGGGGAGGTGATAGTCTGATAGGATCTGTGCCAAAGTGTGGAGCAGCCTGAGGACCCCTTCATTGCCCCCAGCCCCGCCAGCAGAAAGTTTCCTCTGGTGAAGGCAGAGCTTGGCAACCCCAGAGTCAGTCAGTCCTGCAACTCTGTTCTAATTCTCATCCAGTTTCTACCACGTCTATAGTGTTATTAACTGGCATAAATGGGTTCATAAAATCTTCAACAAGAAAATGATTTAAGTTCACTTTAATTAAAATGTATACGTGTGTACTGTGTACCTTCCCTAACATGCATTTAGGGAATACACATCCCCTATGTTAGAAACCAATGCTATAAAACAAAACCAATGACAGTAGAATTATAAACCTCACACAGGCTGAGAATCTGCAGTCTAAAGCCCAGATGGCAAAGTTCGATACCTATGAATGGAACTGAAAGATTTCATTTTTCACAGGACATATGTCGGCCATACGTTTGGTCAGCAGTCTTTCACTCTGGTCTTCAGCTTGAGTTCGTGGAGCTCTAGAGTTCTGTAGAAGGGATTCAAGAAAACCATGAGTCCATTGAAAATGATTAAAGTCAGTGTGGATATGCATATGTACATTTTTCTGGAGAGTCTAGAGCTTTCTTCAGCTTCTCAAAGGATTGCAAAACTTAGGAATGATTAAGAACAATTGTATAAACTTTTATCTTTAGGCTATTTTCAGACATTTGTAGAAAAATGGAACTAAACTAGGACACAATGGTTAGGAGCTGAAATCCCCCATGGCTGACCGTAGTTCGATTCCCAGATTTGATGGCTTGAAAATCATGCCAGATGCATGTGTGTGTGTGTGTGTGTGTGCCTAAATCCCAGGAGGAGAGTGAGGAGAAGGGATTGAGGCATGGACATCCCCCCGGAGGATGATTTCTCACTGTCTTTCTCTGTTTCTCTTTGTCAAGTTCACATACCCGATGGCAGAAACCTTAAAAAATAAAATAAAAAATAAAAGCTCACAGAGTTCCTTGACAGAAATCTCTAAAATTAAATCTTATAAGGTAGACAGCTCCAAGTTGGAGATGACATGAGCTCACTTGAACACTCCATTTGTCTTCTTTCTTCTTTTAAGTTTATTTCTTCAGAGAAAGAAAATCTGGCACCCACACCCGCCCCCCGACAGAGTCTCACACCACAATCCACTCCCAGCCTCAGTCAACCTGGATCACTGGCATGTGTGCACCTGGCATGTACAGAGGGACCTTGAATCATGGTCCCAGGATGTTCCCATGGACACTCAGCATCACAAGCATTGTTCCCACTGTGTCACCGCAGCTGCCACTCCATCTCTCTCTGTAATGCTTCTGATGCTTTCCAAGGGCTGTGATGGCTAAGGTGACAGGGCATGGTTAATATTCCAGAGCAAGAAAGAATTCTTCCTAACATTTGTTCAAAATGTAGCTTTTTGAGCTCACTTGTGGCGTGACTTTATTTGCTCCTAAAATAATAGCTATGCGTTCACAAAGTGACAAAGAATTTGAGAGGCACATTGAACTCTACTTTCTTTATGTTATGCTCAGTACCCAAGAAAATTGCAAAATATAAGGAAAAACAAAAAAAAATGCTCTGAGGGAGGAGAAAGTAGAAAGTAGTCCTACAACCAAAAATATTGGATATTTTTCTGGACTAATCAGCTTATTGCCATCAGTGCTCTCAATAAGTATCTATAGTATTCACAAATACAGTCATCCATTGTAGGAGTTTATCTCACTTGAATGTATTGCAGAAAAAATAGATGATATCTGTCAAATTCATAATGAAATTACTGAAGAATTATTCTGAATTTTCAGCCTAGAACTTCTCACAGAGCTAAATGTATTGCTTTCTGATAGTAAGTGGGGTTTCCTCCTTGAGTAGGAAAGACAACATTGAAATATTATATTTTTCCTAGTGTGATCATAACACCCAACAGTGAATCAAAATACCTTATTTTCAGTTCAGTTAAGTTTTCAGTTCAGTTTCATCTAATTAAGCCACAATGGGCTAGTCATTTAATATTTCTAAAATAAAAGTTGAGTGAGATTTTCTTTCTTTCAGGCTACATGACATTTTAAGAATCCTAAAATATCAACAGCTAGAAAGTTTTATTTTTCTTTTTTTTTTTCCCTGAAATTGTATTTTGCATTACTTCAGAGTGAGCTCAGTGGGTGCTAAAAACCCAAGGCTCTGCAGAATATTCTCTCTGCTCCTGTAATTAGGTCAAATGTCTCCTCTCTAGCAGGCATCAGATCAACAATGGAGGGGACTGTAGATGGGCCCAGATAAGGACAGCAGGCTTGCCACTTCACACCTATCCAGCCAGCCCAGCCCAGAGGAGGCTGAGTCATAAGGGCAGGTATGTGCTCACAGACCCATCTTTCTGGTTTCAGCTTTGGCGTCTTCACCCACTACATTCCTAAAGTCTACAAACCAGAATGGCTGCTGTGAGCGTAGCTCTGAAGATCTAATGTCAAAGCAAAGAAATATTTTCCTTGAAATAATATTGTTTCTTAATTTTTAACATATACTTTACTTAAAATGACAAGTAAATCTACCCTCCTGGCTTGCTCAAGCAGTAGATGAAGGAATTGCTTACATTGTCTCACTCCATTGAACTGAGACATTTATGAAGATAACCAGGCTGCAGCTTATTATTTTAGTTATTGTAGATGATTTAATTGTTCAGTAACCATCCAGTCAATCTCTCAGCAACTCACTCATGGTTACAACCCAACATAGAAATGTTGTCATATTTGTTTAATTGAGTCAGGCAAACCTGGGCTAAACAAGGAAGATTCGTTCTCCTCCTATCAATGGTCTCACCCATCACTAAAAATATAAAATATCCTTAAAATTTGGGGGATTTTAAAATACAAGTACTTATCACTACCTATTATCTTTAATTGAATGACAATGGTCATTCATTGGAGCCCTAGAATTACAGAAACTTGCAATGTTTTCTTCAGACATCATGTCTTGCTACATATTGAAGAAAGATTAAAAACTAGGAGTGAGGGGACATGTGCTCCTTGGAGTCATTATTACTTGATGAAGAATGGGGGTTTTATGGGCTATATCACATGAACGAAACTCCAGGTTGCATCAAAGAAAGCACTACACACCTAGAAGTTAAAGGATAGGTGATTATAAATTGTATGAGGGAGGAGCAGGAGGAGCCAGATGGCATTGGGACATCCTAGGCAAATATTCCAACCTGCTTGGTGTTCTTCCATTCCTATCAACTAAGCTTCCTTAATTTGCTTCAGAATTTGGAGGAGGAATTGTAGCTGGAAAATACACAAAAGAGTTTTTAAACCTGCAGATATTTCTTCTGATTTTAGGATTTGTTGCTATAGCACCAGGAAGTAATAAATGCAGATGTTGGACCATGTCAGAAATCTTCTCAAGAGAGTGGATTGTTTTACGCAGAGTGGAGATGTGGCTTCTGGTTCTGGTGGTGTATTTATTTCAAAGAAATGTGAATTCTGGACACATGCCTACTATCGCTGTGGACCCGGAAGCATTCATGAATGTTGTAAGTTGAGGGAAAATGGTTGGGGAAAATGAAGTACCGTACATGTTAACTTTTGCATTTATGTGTTATCTGCAGTATGCATTATTTTTGCTTGTGGTGGTGATCCAGGCTAGAAGAGTACAGTGAGGATGGAGCATGTTGAACTAGAAAGAATGCTAACCTGGATGTTCATGGATCTGTGGTCTCCTCAAATAAACTTAGGTGAATGAGTTAGGCCCTTTGGGCTTCAAACACAATTTGCCTTTGTCTTGAGCATTAAGTTCATCTTATGAGCAGAGAAATAATCAAGGTATTTTGGGATAATCACAAAGCCTTATTTAGTCACACTTTGTCTCTGCTTTTTATTCTATTTTCTGCTTTCTTCCATACTGTAAAAGTGTGAACCTTCACTTCTCACCATCAGGGCACCCCCTACTAGTAGCATCCTGTATCGTTCTAATCTACTCACTTGATCCTGATCTGGATCGCAACCCTGCTGAATAGCAATAAAACAACACCGAGTTAGTGCTAGAGAAGCTGTTCTGAGTCAAAGTCATGAATGATAATTCATCTCTTTAGATCTCCCAGAATTTTTTTTTCTTTTAAATTTTATAGTGGGTTTGGGTAATGGCCACCATATAGTAACACTTACCCCACGTGGTGATAAAAGCCATCAAGATACTATTTTACTTGGTGCCTTATTTACCTTCACTGCTCTATGCAGCAGATATAATCATCCCCATCTAAAAAAAAAAAAAAAATCAAGGAACTGAAACTAAAGTGGTTAAGCAAGTTAAATGAGGTTATGCCACTGCTACATGGCAGAGCTGCAATTTAAATTCAAGACTACCTAAATACAAAGGCTGTAATTATAACCACCATACAACAAACCCTCACAGATGGGAAGGAGAAGAAGCCACCTTTAGATGAGTAAGATGATTTGTGCAATGTCCATGCCCCGTAGATCTATCCAATTTCCCACAGAAACTGGAACTTTAACATGCATTTATACAGAGGTAAGACCCTTTTTATAGAAGCTACCTTACATGGTTCTAAATTTTGACAGGCCATAGAATTAGTCTGAATCTGAATTATGCTAAATATCAGGTTTCTTTTGACCGTTCCCATGAGTGACTATCTTTTGATCATTTGCCCTGAGAGTTTAGCAATTCATCCTTCTGCTCTGATTATGTCCAACACAAACTCCTCTAGTTTTGGAATGAAGAGAATCTAGCCACATACAAAGACAATGTTCCCACTCCCCACCCACTGAGTATGCTCAGTACCACACAGAGTATCCAGGTTTGGTTTTATTCTTCATACTGATAGACATGGCTTATCCGATATTTGAGTATACAACTGTCTTTATTCATGTATTTTTTTTTCTTTTTCCATTTATTTATTTATTTCTACATTTTTCTACATTTACTTTATATGTCACAAAATTTTTTGCTCATCAGCCATAGTTCTTGAAAGTTAAAAAGCAACTTTCAAAATTTCAGAATACTGAATTTTAAAGATAATGTTCAAAGTATTTCTTATAATTTTGTTTGTGATTCTATAACAACAGAAACAGTATGGTTTAAAATATTTTTGAGAAAATATTTACATGTCAACTACTCAAATTGTTGAAAAGCAAATGCCCAGCACACAAGTCACACATAAACCTTCTCAATTCAGCCCTGCCTACCAAGTATTCTGTGATATACCATCTGCTAGCAAATATCAATGTCTTTTTCTTCCTTCAAAATCTTTCTCAAGGTAATCCTCGGGTGTGGTTGCTCTTTTGCAATATCTACTGATTACAATGCTGGGCTGGAAAAGTCCAGGTTATTTTATATTATAAATTCTTTCATATATCTTCTCTAATCATCTCTGCCAGGCAGAACTATATGGTGCCAGGTCATCCTCTGTTAGCTTACTTGAGATCCACCTTAGTTCCATAGTTTTCTAATTAATCTTCAGGTATGATATTACAGCCAAAGCCCTGTCCAATAATGAGTATTTCTAATTTCTGATTCAATGCAACAAGCATTATTGAATTTATGCACATAATCCTTCTGCCACAAAAGTAAGAATACTCTCAAACGAATTTATGCACATAACCCTTCTGCCACAAAAGTAAGAATACTCTCTAACATTTTCCAGTTACAGAGAGGTCAGGAAGGAAGAAAAGTTTATGTTTTCCTTTAAAAAAACAAACAAGAAAATAATTTAACAAATTGCCAGAACTATTAACAACTCAAAAGAAAGTAAAATGCTTAAATTAGGAAAACAAAGCATAGTAAAAGAAAAAAATCAGTAATGTTTCACTCAAAAAGTCATAAAATTCTATTTTGCCAGTTCAGTCTTATGTTCAAACTCTCTTGTGTTGAATGTGCAGTGTTGCTCTGGTCCAATCTTTCCGTTTAAATCCTGGAAGTTAACATTCAATGTTATTATTGATATTTCTTGTTCCTAGCATTAAATTGGTCATTTTCTTGGTTGCCTTTGAGTTCTCTTCTTTCTTTATGTGTCTTTAGTTTTCTTAGTAGAACACTCTTTTCAGAACTTCTTGCAGAGTTGGTCTGCTACTGGCAAATTCTTTCAGGTCTTGTTTATCTGAGAATGTTTTTATCCTTTCTTTCCATATGAAAGATAATCTTGCTGGGTATAGTATTCTTGGTTGAAGCTGTTTTTCACTTAACAGTTTGAATATTTTCTCCCATTTCTTCCTTGCTCAGATTATTTCTGATGAGAGATCTGAGGTTAGCCTGATAGGATAGCCTTTATAAGTAACCTGACATTTCTCTCTTGCCAATTTTAGTATCTTGTCTCAAAAATATACATTGGAGTTTATTTACCATTGTTAGTTTTAAAAATATACATTGATATCCTCCTTCCATACGGTCTGACCTGACTAGTTCTGTTTATGGCGTTCTCACTAATAATTCCTTCATTCCTGTCTTTACTCACATCTTTACTCCTAATGTGACACATGACATGTATCTTCTCAATACACACTTGTCCGAAGTCCTCCATTCAAGATGGTCCCCAGACAGGTAGCATCAGCATCATTTGGGATCTTGTTAGAAATGTCAGTTCTTAAGATCTTACCAGAGCTATGATAACAAAGATTCTGAGAGTTGGTTCCAGCAATCTATATTTCTTAAAGAATTATTTATTTAATGATATTTATCACTGTTATTATTTTTAATTTGACCAGAGAAAGACAGTGAGAGGGAAAGTGAGAAAGTAAGCCACCAAATCTGGGGCTCCAACTGCAGTCAGCCATGTGGGAGTCCAGTGCCTTAATCACCACACCACCTGATGGCCCCAGCAATCTACTTTTTAAAAAGCCTTCCAAGTGGGGCCAGCAGATGAAATAATAGTTGCACCACTGAACTCCTATGTGGTTCGACTCCTAGACCCAGCAGCTTAAAACTCATGCTGTGTGCATGTGCATGTGCACCCAAAATCCCGAGAGGAGAATGGAGGAGAAGGATTGCAGCATGGCCACTACCCTGGGAGTCGATTTCTCACTTTCTATCTGTCTCTCCAGTGAGCACACATACCCTATAGCAAAAATCTCTTACTCCAAAAGAAAGAAAGAAAAAAAAAAAGACCTCCCAAGTAATTCATTTTCCTGGAATGTTTTTATTATTTTGTGAAGTATAGTACAATTTTTCACAGCATACATACAGTGTGTAAGTATCAAATACAGACATATTTGTCTCTTTCAATGTTGAACATTACATTATGCTGTGTAACTCTGAGAACTACTGGCCAATAAATTCCTTCATGTTAAGGACACAATAGTGACACACACATTAAATTTCTCAACATCTTACAGCTAATTCATGTACTAGTGTCAGATCCAGGATGAAAATTCAAGCAGTGGGACCCCAGGGCCTTTCTTTTAATGACTATGCTTTTTTGTCCTTTATTCTATACCAGGCAATTGTCTCCTGGTTTTCTTCTCTCTTTTTTCAAAGCATCTCCTAATAGAAATAGCTCCGTCCTCTGAAGACAGTGGTTAAGAACAGCACGGATGCTTAGAAGATCTCTGCAGCTTCATCTATTCCAAAGAGTTTCTACATGTAACTGTAGAACAGAAGTTCTTGACTAAATGTCTATATACAGACAATAAGGAAACTGAAATCTGAACCCTGAAATTGTATGCAAAAAGTAAATAAGTAAATGAGTTTGTGTGTCTATGTATACTTCCATTTTATTGATCTTCTCAAATTCCTTTAGGGATCTGTAACCTAAAAATATTAAGAATCACTGCTTTGGGGTCTGTGGTTTTAGAACTGGAAAGAACCTTAGGGATCGTATGGCCTAGGGATTCTTGTAGGTTGTCCTGGAGCAGGCACCTCCCTAGCCCCCCATGTATTAGAATCACCTGGTCTCTAACCTGAAGCGGGCTCAAATACTCATGTATGTAAGTGCTCCGGATGATTCTGATGTCCCCCAGATTTGGAATAAATGTATCTCAAACAAGAGAGTGCTTGGGAATTTCTTAATGGGCTTTTGAAACACAAATGGCTAGGTACTATCCTCAGACTTCCTGATTCCGTAGGTTTGATTGGGAGCTGAGAATGTGAATTTCCAACAAGTGGTCAGGTGATGCTGATGCTTTGCTTTTAGGAGCCACACTTTGAGAACCATTGTTCTAGTCTAGTCTCCATATCAAAGACAAAGAAAGTGAGGTCTGGAGAGGGTTGGCTGACATTTTGAAGGTAACACAATTAGCTGGGAAAAAACATGGACTTACTTATCTAAATCTTCCAACATCAAGGAATCCACTCTTACTTTGGGAGGGTTAAGAATATAGGACTGAACTCAAAACTGAATTTGTGCTCCTTTTTCTTAGAGTGAAATCATCCAACACAAAGGCTACCCTTGTGAGGAGTATGAAGTCACAACTGAAGATGGGTATATCCTTTCTGTTAACAGAATTCCTCGAGGCATAGCACAACCCAAGGAGACAGGTGCAATTCTCCCTATGTCACCCTAACACAGCAGTCTTCCTGCAGTCATGAACCCCTTGTGATCTGAGTGTGTAGAGGAGAGTCTCAGGTCTGACCACAGCCTGTGAGGCAATTATTCAGATCAAAGGATGATGTCAGTTCCCCCATAATCTCCATATCCCACCACCCTACCCCACCTTACCTCCATCAGTTATCTCAAATAAACATCTAGGGTTTGCTTTTCAAAAAACACTTTCAAAAAGTCTGTTTCTTGACTTTCTCTAAATCCATTTCCAAAACCCTTCCTATATAGATATTCTAGAACATTCACTGATGGTCCCTTGAACAGACCAATGCGAACTCCAACACGGCTCACCCCCACACCCTCTATATTCCCCATCCAAAGAGCACTTTCAATATTTAAAATGTTGCTTAGCTTTTCCCTAAGGAGACTCTACATATATATATTTTTTAAATTTTTGGTACATGTTTTCATAGTTCATGTAAATCTATTTTTTGTCTATGCGTTTTTCAGCTATTGTTAGCTTTTTAAAAGTTCATCTTCCTTACTAATTAAAGTATGTACATCTCTCATTTCCACTTGACTCTATTCCATTTAATACTCTAGTTCTGTGGTTATAGCAGCAACTATATTAATCTGTCATGTATGCAAGTAACATTTCTTATTGTGTTTTCTTTCTCTGTAGGTCAGATACAATGCTAAGTACCTTGTTTGTGGTAGTCTCATTTAATTTTCACAATAACCCTAAGCACCTGCTACATGTAGAGATTATAAAATTTTCTCAAAAAGTCTGGGCTAAGACTTGCTAGCATGTTGTGAAACCTGCATTTAAATTGATATGTGTTTGCCACTATAGCCATGTTCTCAACCAGGACCCAAAAATACTGGGTAAATGGGCTTTGTTGTAAAGAAGCTTCAGGTTCTGTTTTATTTTCATTTGTACAACAATTGTAGCTTTTCAAAAACCAGATTTTTATTTTTACTCTAGCTGCACTGCTGTGCTTTATATATGTCTGACACTCTCCCATCTCAGCACCTCCAGCTTACAGTTCTCTGGAAAGAGAAAGAAAGAAAGGAAGAAAGAAAGAAAGAAAGAAAGAAAGAAAGAAAGAAAGAAAGAAAGAAAGAG